CTTCAGGCCAGATGTCAGAGGTCACTTTGAGTACCGAGTAGGAAAGTCTGATCCTTGACCACACACACAACTGTAGCTCTGAAGAGTCCAGATCCCTACAGCCAGGTGTGGCCTCACCCAGAGTGGGAATCCCACTAAAGCCTCTTAACCTGCTCTGCCTCTGCTCTGCCCCATCGCCACCTTGGGCCACCTCATCATTTCCTCCATCTTGTCAGTTTGCAGTATCTCCTCTATGGCCCACAGGCAGCACCTCCAGGAAGCCCTCCAATCTGCCCTCTTCAGGCCTCTCCCTGTCAGACCCTCTGGGCCAAGCAGAATTCCTCAGGCAGCCACCAAGCTGAGCTGGGCTGGGCTGGCCTGTGCCCTCTGGCCTCCCCAGGACCCCAGACCAGGCCTCACCGCTGCCTCCACCTCCGGAGCCAGGCCCGACTTCCTTGTGGGCAGTGCAATGGTAGCCCTTCCGCTTGAGCAGGTTACACACCAGGATGCCCAGCAGCCCCATGAGGCAGAAGATAGGAACGATGGCAATAACTGCATACTGGGCAGCCGTCTCCTCGGGTCCGCCTGCCCGTGTGCTGTTCCCAGGCTGCCGTGTCTCCCCAGTGCCGCTGACCCCTGCTGCCACCTCCACACCACGTCGGGTCCGCCATCTCCGATCTGAGCACGATGGAGGATAGAGGCATGGAGGCAAGACAGGCAAAGGGAACCAGACACTCAGAGGCCCAGGGCCGGGGTTGGGGGGTGTGCGTGTGCGTGTGCGGGTTCTGATGTGTCCAGAGCTGCCCACTCCCTGCCCCAGAGCTGCCCACTCCCTGCCATGTTGGGAAGCAAAGGTCAACTCACCCCCAGGCCCTCCTATTTGGCCATCTGATCAGTCAGCCTGAGCAAGGCCTCCTTAGGCCTCAAGATGGTCAGAACCTCATCCCCCTGTCACCTCTAGTGCTAGGTCAGAGGCATGAACACTCGGCACCTGAGTGCATGCGTGGGCACAGGGATACTGGATCCTGCCTCCCCATGACCTGGTCTGTGAGTTAGTTGATAGGGTATGTGTGTGTGTGTACACAAGCATGTGCTCACACTCATCTGCATGGGTGTCTTTAATGGGGTGAGGCCACCTGCTGGATGGTCTCTGCCACTCAGAAATGAAGTGGGTGGACACATAGCCAGTGGAACAATGGACCACGTCCTGCTAGACACCCCTGGCTGTGCACTCTCCTATGAGCTGAGGGAATGAGGACCCCACTGGCCTGGATGGACACTTGGGGGTGGTTCCTAGGCTCAAGCTCGCCAGACCCCCTCCCACACATACCCTCATCTGTCCTAGGCCCCATCTGCCACTTACCATAACAACTGCGAGGACCCAGAGGTGTCCAGGAGCATGGCTGACAGGGAACATGGGGGACCCTTGAAGGGGCAAACCACCTACAGGGGGGGAGACATCAGTGAGACCCAGAACTTTCCTCAAAAGAGACTAGACTTTCTACTGGACACCCACACTGGTCCTTACCCATCTCCTTTCACAGATGGGAGGACTGAGGCCCACTCAGGGGTTGGGTGAGGCTGGGGCCCCAGGATCCAGAGTCCTCGTCAACCGGCATGAGCCCCCGCACCCCACCCCATGGCTCACCCAGGCTGGCAGTCTCCACATACGGTGTCTTGAGTCACTGTGCCCGCCTGGGCCTCCAGCCTCCCTTGAAGGCTGCAGCGGGAGTGGGACTGGCATGGGCTAGAGCCCCACGAGGCTGAGAAGGTGCCCAGGGGGCAGGCCCTGCATAATGTGCCCTGCCCCGGGTCCTGTGGGAGGGAAAGGGTGAGAACAAAGCCAGAAGCCAGGCCCGAGGTCTCCAGGAAACCCACCCCAGCCCTCAAGAATCCTCCCAGGACAGGGCAGGTGGGCAGGGTGAGCTCACCAGATTGGGCTCCTCCCCAGGTGGGCAATGCCAAGGGGTCATTGATGTTGGTGTAGCCAGAGGCCAGGGCAGCAGCTGGAAGAACAGTGGGCAGGGCACACTGAGCAGAAAGCACTGGGCCATGGCATCTCTAGGGCTGTCTATCCACCACCAGCTCCCTGAGGCCCCAGGAGTGGACTGAAGACCTCCAGGCTTCAGGGATCCTCTCTAACCTCACCCTCATGCTGAGAGTAAAGCCTGCTCATCCCAGACCTGCTGCATGGCCATTGCTCAGGTAGGGAGAGACACTCTGCTTTTGGAAAATGCTGGAAAGCCCCAGACAGGGCCTCATTAGGATCTCAAGCCCTCAGGTCTCTGAATCACACCCCTTGCATCCTCCAGGATGAGGGGGAAATGCTTCCAAATTCCTCTCAAGTTCCGCCCTGCTTCCTGCTACCTCGCCCCCCCCCCCCCCCCC